TAAGAAGGTGACATGCACGAGAGAGGACTCAGGACCCCAAAAACCAGGTGACAAAGAGAATGGCTTCCTGCTTTCCATTCCCATCAGAATCCATAGGCATACTTAAAAATATCAGCAAGATGAGGCTGGGCAGGTGGCTCCGTGGTAGAGCGCTCGCCTCGCATGCCTGAGGTCCTGGGTTCGATTCCTCAGCACCACATACGCAGAAAAAGCCAGAAGTGGCGCTGTGGTTCAAGTGGTAGAGCGCTAGCCTTGAGCAAAAGAAGCTCCGGGACAGCGCCCAGGCCCTGAGTTCAAGCCCCAGGACTGGCAAAAAAAAAAAGAAAAAAGAAAAACAATATATCAGCAAAATCTGGGCACTGGTGGCTCACGCCTGTCATCCCAGCTACTCAGGAGGTTGAGGTCTGGGTTCAAAGCCAATGGGGACAGAAACATCTGTGAGGACCCTTAACTCCAATGCGTCAGCCAAAAGTCAGGAGTGGAGCTGTGGTTCAAGTGGAAAAGCACCAGCTTTGAGTGAAAAAGCCAAAGGACTGTGCACAGGTCCTGAGTTCAAGTCTCAGGAATAGCATTTCAAAAAAAAAGAAGAAGCAAAAGAAGTCCACACTGACTCCGGGTGATGTCATCTTCTAGGCATTATGAGATTTCAGGTCTGTCCGTAGTGGGTCATTTCAGAGATTTTTTTTTTGTCCTGGGGCTTGAACTCTGGGCCTGAGCGCTGTCCCTCAGCTCTTCAGCTCAAGGCTGGCGCTCTACCCCTTGAGCCACAGCGTCACCTCTGGTTTTCTGGTGGCTCATGGGAGATCAGAGTCTCACAGACTTTCCTGCCCGGGCTGGCTTGGAACCCTGATCCTCAGATCTCAGCCTCCTGAGGAGCTGGGATGACAGGCGGGAGCCATGGGTGCCCTAGTGGTTTTGGAAATCCTGATATCATTTCAACCAGTCTAACTGGACACAGAGGAATGGAACACATGTGAGTTTATCCCAGCTGAAACCTCCGTTCCTCTCCCCCCCCGCCCCCACGCAGGCGCAGATGGGCTCTGGGGCTGCTGCCCCGCGGGCTGGAGGAGCCTGGGGCCGGGCTGCTTCCTTCCCCTGAGCGGCAACAGTTCATGGGCCGACAGTGAGCGGAATTGCTCCAACATGGGTGCCCACCTGGCTTCCATCAGCACCCAGGCCGAGCTGGTGAGAAGGGTGCTGGACTCGGTGCTTCCTCCATGCCTTGCTTGCCTCTCTCTAATTTACCTGGGGAGTCCGCTCTTCCTCTCCTCCCCTCCCTCCCCCTGCCCTCCCCCTGCCCTCCCCCCTCCTCTCCCCCCCTCCCCTCCCCTCTTTTCCTCTCCTCTCCTTCCACGTGTCTCCCCTCCCTTTTTGTCTCCTTCCCTTCCCTCCTCTCCCCCTCCCTTCCCCGCTTCCCTCCCCTCTCCCCCCTTCCCTCTCCTCTCTCCTCCTCCTCCTCCCCTCCCCCTCTCCATTTCTTCCTTCTCTTCTCCTCCCTTGCTGTTCCTCTCCCGCTCTCTCCTCTTCTCTCCCCTTCCCACTTCCCCCCCTCCCCTCCTCCTCTCTCCTCCCCTCTTTTCTCCTTCCCTATTTTCCCTTCCCATCTCCCTTTGGTCAGTCATGGGGCCTGAACTCTGGGCCTGGGCGCTGTCCCTCAGCTCTTCAGCTCAAGGCTGGTGCTCTACCACTTGAGCCACAGCGCCACTTCTACTTTTCTGGTGGTTCATTGGAGATGAGAGGCTCATGGACTTTCCTGCCCGGGCTGGCTTTGAACTACGATGCTCAGATCTCAGCCTCCTGAGGAGCTGGGATGACAGGCGGGAGCCAGGGCCCAGCCCCTTCCCTTCCTTCGTCTTCCTCTGTCTCCTCCCTTTTCCTCTCCTTCCCTTCTTTTCCCTCCCTGCTCCCGTTTCCTCTCTCTCTCTCCTCTTTCCCTCCCCTCTCTCCCCTTTCTCCCCCCTCTTCTTCTTTCCTTCTCTTCTCCCTGTAGGTAATGGCCCACAACTAGGCTTTCTTGGAGGCTCTTGATACAATGGGATTTCATGCACTACACAGCAGTGATCGGAGAGGAGTTCACACATAAGAGTCTCTTAAAAACAAATCCAAGCCGGGCTCCGTAGCTCCCGCCTGTCATCCCAGCTCCTCAGGAGGCTGAGATCTGAGGCTCGAGGTTCAAAGCCAGCCCGGGCAGGAAAAGTCTGTGAGACTCTGATCTCCCATGAACCACCAGAAAACCAGACGTGGCGCTGTGGCTCAAGGGGTAGAGCGCCAGCCTGGAGCTGAAGAGCTGAGGGACAGTGCCCAGGCCCAGAGTCCAAGACCCACGACTGACCAAAAAATAAAAACAATCCAGTCTGGTGCAGGTTGTGTGGGGAGGGAGGGACAGGACTGGAACGCCGGCCTCCTTGGGAGCAGAGCTGCCCTGTGGCCTCTCGGCCTGGCTGGGAACCAGGGACGGCCGCTGCCTCTGCCCCCCCCACGCGTGTTCCTGAACACCTGTGCGTTGCTTACAGGACTTCACCACGCAGTTTTTGCAGAGTGGGTTTCCATACTTCCTGGGACTCACCTATGAGGAGAGTGGACAGCAGTGGCAGTGGGTGGACGGGACGCCCTTCGACCCGCACGCGGGGTGAGTGGGGGTGGGGACGGGGGTCCCAGGCTGGGCCTGGGTGGGCCGGGGCGGCAGCACGCAGCGCTGCGGGGGCTTGGACTCCAGGCACACGCAGAAAAAGCTGCAAGTGGTGCTGTGCCTCAGAATGCTCAAGCACCAGCCTGCAGCAGGAAGGGCTCAGGGACGATGTTCCCAGGCCCTGAGTTCAAGTCCTAGGATGGGCCAAAAAACCCCCAAAAGAACGGATAATATGGGTATGAGATGGAAAATATGTTCTCTGTGTGTGTGTGTGCGTGCGTGCGTGCGTGCACAGCAATCCCGCGTCTTTAACTCAGGGCCTCCTTACTTTCTCATTTGGCTTTTCCAAACCCAGAGCTGGTTGGTGCTCTACCACTTGAGCCACACCTCCACTGCTAGCTTTTTGGTGCTCATTGGAGATTAAGAGTTTCCTGCCCGGGCTGGCTTTGAACTGTGATCCCCAGATCTCAGCCTCCCGAGCAGCTGGGGTGACAGGCGGGAGCCGCGGTATCCGGCCTTCTTATTCCAATAGGTATTAGATGTGTGCGTCGTTCTGTTTTTCTTATTTTTTTTTTCCCAGTTAGCACCAATTATTTGTACAAAGGCATCTCAGTCAGCGCCCCCTCTCCCTCCCCCTCCCCCTCCCTCCCCTCCCTCCCCCTCCCTCCCCTTCCCCTCCCCCTCCCCCCCCTCTCCCCCCCCATCCTCCAGCCTCTCTCCTGTCTTTGCCAGGTACTATCTCTTGAGTTTTTTCATCCAAGGCTGGCTCTCTACCACTTGAGCCACAGCTCCACTTCTTGCATTATTTTGTTTTTAGTGGCTCATTGGAGATAAGAGTCTCACGGACTTTCTTGCTCGGGCTGGCTTCGAACCACACTCCTAAGATTTCAGCCTCCTGAGTAGCTGGGATGACAGGCGTGAGCTACCAGGGCCTGGCTATTTTTTTTTTTCTTTTTTCTTTTGGTATTAAGTCTTTGAGATATCATGAGCACTTATACTTAAAAACACTTCTCAATATAGCTTAGCCACATCTCAGATGCATTTTCTCTGACTTGTATCGATGGCCTGTATCTCTAATTATCTAGATCTGTGTCGAATCATCGACCATTTCTCTCTTTCCATCAGATTCTGGCACCGGAATAAACCCACCCACTTCCAGGAAGGAAACTGTGCGGTGCTGGTGAACCACAAAGACCGTTGGGCCTGGAGTAATTTTTCCTGTGCGGGGAAGGCAAGTAGGATCTGTGAGCTACCCAGAGCAACTTTCAACCAGAAACCTAAGCAACCATCTTCGTAATGCGGACAGAAAGGAAGAAGCAGCCGGGTACCGTGGCTCACGCCTGCAATCCCAGCTACTCAGGAGGCTGAGATCTGAGGATCGCGGTTCAAACCCAGCCCGGGCAGGAAAGTCCATGACACTCTGATCTCCAGTGAACCCCCGCAGAAAACCGGAAGTGGCGCTGTGGCTCAGCTGAAGAGCTCAGGGACAGCGCTCAGGCCCAGAGTTCAAGCCCCACGACAGCTCTCTCCCACTTTTTCCCTCCTGTGAGACTCATCTCCGATTAAACTATCAAAAAGCTGGAAGTGGCGCTGTGGCTTAAGCGGTAGAGCACCATCCTTGAGTTGTAGAGTTCCTTTTCCACATGGTGTCTAGTGCGGCCACGTTGGCCTCTGTCTCTCCTTTCCCTGTGATAAATTAAGCTTCATGAACTCAGTTTTCACTCTTTGCTTGCTGAACAGCATTTGTAGGCATTTGTGTTCGTTGGTTAGACAGCGAGAAGAAAGGTGGAAATAACAGTTTCTTGCTTTGCGTGTGTGTGTGTGCGCCGTGGGGCTTGTTTTGGTTGTCCTGGGGATTGAATTTCAGGCGTGCATTCTGTCTGTGAGCTTTTTCACCGAAGGCTGGCGCTCTACCACTTGAGCCACAGCTCCACTCTTGGCTTTTGCTGGTTCATTGGAGATGAGGGTGTCGCAAACTTTCTTACCCCAACTTTCTTCTCCACGATCCTCAGCTCTCAGCCTCCAGTGTAGCTGGGATTACAGGTGTGAGCCACCGGCTCAGCATGTCTTAAATTCAACACTGAAAACGATTTATTATTATTATTATTATTATTTTATTGATAGTGGAATAGTGAATACTCCACAAAGTCCTTTGGCTGTCCCAAGTCATGGATGCCAGCAGGCCCCTTTCCCTTCTCCATGTTTGTGTGTGTGTGTGTGTGTGTGTGTGTTTGTCGGTTGTGGGTCTTGAACTCAGGGCCTGGGCGCTGTCCCTCAGCTCTTCAGCTCAAGGCTGGTGCTCTACCACTTGAGCCACAGCTCCACTTCCAGCATTTTGCCGGTTCCTTGCAGATAAGAATCTCATGGACTT